AGACAAGCTGCTGTCCCGGCTGGCTGTTGAGCCAGGAGAGAGGGGCCTCTCTGATCTGACGTTCTTGGCGCGCTATGATGGAAAGCCATGTCCCTTTGAGGGGAGACAGCTCGGACCTGACACTGGCGTCTTGTTCCAGAGGCTGGAGAAGTTGGAAACTATGACGAACAGAAAGCAAGAAGCTCGAGTCTCTGACAAACAGCTTCTGTGAATAAAAACCTTCAGGAACTCCTGGGAAACGTTGTCTTTTCATCTTCCTTCTGTTGATGGTGGTGGTGGGGAGGGGTGGGAAGCTGGCCTGACCAGGGCTGTGCTGTCCCAGTGACAGGCCTGGGGCTGACCACACATGCTTGGGCAGGAGATTGTGTGAGCAGAGCTGAGGGCTCAGGAAGCTCAGGCAGCACCCTCAGAATTCCTGAGTAGCCAAATCGGTAACTGAACCAAAGACACAGCCTCAGGTTTCAGTATTGCTGCTTTTTTTGCCCCAACGTATTTTATGGGATGTAAAAAGCAACTGAGGCAAATATTTATCCCCTTAAAATAGGAAGGTTTTCCTGCACAGTCCTGGGGCTCCACCAGAGCCCCCTTGCCTGTGTCTCTCACAGAAGCATAGAATACTAGACTGGTTTGTGTTGGAAGGACCTTAAAGCCCATCTTGTTCCAATCCTCTGCCATGGACAGGGACACCTTCCATTAGACCAGGTTGCTCCAAGCCCTATCCGGTCTGGAACACTCCCTTCCTTTACCTTGTCTGAGGCGAGGAGCCTCAGGTGCTGTTCTGAAGACACTGTAACCATGGATGTGGCAACCAGTCTGCTCAGCCATCCCTTCCAGAGACAGCAGCTCCCACCTCACTCACTCCAGCAATCCCTTCTTGGGCTGATGTTCAGGATGAGTATCCAGGGGGATCAAGAAAGCCCTGAGGAGGGATGGGATTGGTCCTGGTCCTTCTCAGTGTTGTCTCCTCGTGAAGGAAGAAGGATGAGCAGTTGCTCTACAATCAGTGCCCTCATCTCACCTTTAATTCCCAGGTTTTTGGCCAGGCCAGAAGTAGCTGGGGGTGGTCAGATATGGGTACCCATGGGCTGTAGTGCCCATGGATCTGTTGGATCCCTCAGCTGAGCTTCCTCTGTGGGCCAAAACAAGTCTGAGTGAGCCTTGATGAGGATGATCCTGTGTGACCACTCTTTTCCAGGGGCAGGACAGCACCGAGGTTGAACAGGAAGTCTCATTTGGCTGTGCAGACCTGCTGGCATCACCAGAATGGGAAAGAGGGCATGTGTTTCAGGCCCAGCCTCACCTTCCTGAGGCTTTTCTGCCTCCTGCAAGGCTTAGTGCACCCTAGTTTCATGTCAGTGCTGCTGGAAGCAGCTGAGCATTGGCACCCTGGGGCAGCGGTGACCACTGGGGATCTTTGGTAAGTCCTTCCCAGCTCCTCCAGGTCCCATCAGTGCAGGAGTCATCTTCTTTCATGGGCCTGTTTTGGGGGGCTGTGAGCTCTTTTGGGGTTGCCTGGGCTGTGTGAACAAAAGCAGTGCAACCTCCATAGTCTGCCTGCCCCTGCCATTCCCCACACCCTCGCTGTGCCACAGCCTGATGCTGTCCCGGTTTCAGCTGACCCGGGTCCCCTCATCCCCTCCTGCCGTGGTTCCCCTCCCCTGCCGAGTGTCACCTGCTCCCCTGCTCCTGCCATCCCTCTGAGCATCCTTCCTGCTGCAGCCCCTGTGCCCTAGCGCTGTGGGTGCTGGTGCCCTGCTGCCCTGCTCCTTGGGGACAGGAGGGACACATGCCCTTCCCGGTCCCTCTGATGCTGGCACCTGGGGGCTGTGGCTGCCTGGCCGGACATGGAGCGGGTCACTCTGGCATGGGTGGCAGTGCCCCCGTGTTGGAGCGTGCGGGTGTTTGTGTGCGCTGGTGTCTGCTCCTGCCCCGCTAT